AGCGCGAGGGCTGAGAGGCGGCGCGCGGGGCAGTAGAAGGCAGCGCGAGGGCTGCGGAGCGGCGCGCGGGGCAGTAGAAGGCAGCGTGAGGGCTGCGGGGCGGTGTGCGGGCTTGACGAGGCAGCTGGCAAGCGACGCGCGGGGCTGACAAGGCAGCGGGCGGGCTGCTAGCAGGCTGCACGAGGGCCAGCAGAGGCGAGCGCGAGGGCTGCGCGACTCAGGGCAGTGTAGGCAGGGGGCGGGGTAACGCGGTAACCGGCGGAAAACGGTTGGTGGGCCCTGAAAAGCAGTCCTAAAACGGTCCTAAAGACCTATCTGCTCTTAATACCATGTTGAAAGTTAAGGGAAGAAAAGGTGTGATGACTATCATGAGAGTTGGGTACAAGTAACAAAAAAACCTATACCCTACATTAGCTACCCCACTAAAGCCTACATATCATTATAACATAGACATATAGTTTGACATGTCTGTGTTTTTTTTATAAACTTGTCGTGCGTTTTTTAATATTGTTGACTTTCCCGATGTACTATTGTTTCTTTATTTGTTGTACAGGGGGGGCACTGGCGGCGAAAACACCCGCCGAGAAGAATCATGCGTTCAATGTCATTGACACGGTGGTTCGCACCGTGGCAGAGCATCTCGGTCGTTCTGGGCCATGGCACCAATGGTTTATGGGGCTCCAGGAAGTTTTTGCGTCCACTTCTCTTGAGCTCCAGGGCATTCATTCCGTCCGTTGGCTTTCACGGGGCGACGCGGTGCTCAGGCTTGTCGATGTGCTTCCCGCTCTCATCGTGATGCTGAAGGAGTGGGACGCGAAGCTGTATGCTCTTGTAACAAGCTACAAATTTCATTTCCTTCTTTTCTTCATTGCTGATGTGCTTGAGCAGCTCAACATCCTGAATAGGGCGTTCCAGCACAAGGAAGTGAGTTTGCTCATGGTTTTCTGTCATTATATTTTTGTGCAGTAGGCATTGTGCTATAATCCTGCATGTTAACCGTTACCAGCCACTAACTACTGTCTGTCTTGTTTCTGTCCAGCTTGACTATGCCAGCGTGCATGCGCAGATCAAGCGCACAACATCCCACATTGAGAGCTACTACGTTGATTGCGGCGACAACTTCGGTGGTGGCGTGAGCGAGCTGCTGTCCCCCTTCATCGCACGCCATGGGCCAGGAGGAAACCAGGAGGTAAAAGTCGAAAGGGTTGACTCAGATGGCCGTCCTGCACGCTTCACCTTCAGGCTGCATGAGGACGAGCTGGAGGAGTTTGAAGGGCCCGGGACCCACGATGGCTGCGTGGAGGCCTGCATAGAGTTCGCGGAGTTAATCGTTCACCAACTCGAGCATCGGCTAGGCGACCTGGATGGGAAGTCTGGGGTAAAGCTGTTCATCCCAGACGAGTACCTGCTGGATCGAGGAGAGAGGAATCGGAGGTGCCTTCAGTGGCTACAGACGCTTGTGACTTTGTTCAAGGCCGACTTGACGGAAGAGATACTGCCAGGTAAGCCTATTGTGTGGTCTTTATATCATGCTTCATTGTTGCTCTGTTTGTGTTTTGTGCTACGCTTCAATGTATGTTTGTATTTGTTTACTCATTTTGTTCTTTTGTTATCCTTTTCCCAACCCCTCTAGGAGTCAACAAGCGCCGTGCAATGAAGGAGCTGCACATGTTCACCTCGGTGCTTGCAGCCTCTACCAAGGGCGAGTGCAGCTTTCACGCGGGGCTCACAGCCATGCTCAAGACACCCGACTGGCGGGACAACTACCCCAACCTTGTACTTTTTTGGGTGGCGGTAGCTGTTCTGCCACTGAGCATCGTGGAGTGCGAGCGGGGGCTCTCCAGGCAGAACATTATCAAGTCGTGGCAGAGAGGTTCGCGGAAGGACGCACGGCTCGGAGACCTTATGTACATGAGTCTCATGGATTACGCTCCCAAGTGGGAGGAGATCGTGACAATCTGGAGGGCCTACATGAAGTGCAAGCCCCACAGCAACGCTCCACTCCTGCCTGCAGGAAAGCATCAGAACAAGGCCAAGGAGGCAGATGAAGTGATGGAAGCAGAAGACATAGTAAAGGAGAATGATGCATCTGATAATAATGATGATGATGGATTTGATGAGTAGGATGGATAACTTAGATAAGTAGGTAGGATGTAGATTCTGTAAGGTAGTTAAAACTGTCTAAGGAAAAAAATAAAGCACACACATACACACATACACACACGCACGCACGCACGCACGCACGCACGCACGCACTCACGCACAGACCCTCAGATTCGTTTTTGGCCTGTCTGATTCGTCAGACTCTCTCTCAGTATTAGTCTGAAATCCTCAGAGTTGTCTAAAAAAAAAGTCTGAAACGTCAGAGTGTGTTTAAAAAAAAAGTCTGAAACTTTCAGAGTACACTCAAGTAAAAGTCTGATTGTGCTTGTTGTAGCCCTAGTAATCATATTGAAGCAAGCCTACTCCACTTCTCATACAGCTTTGCCTACATTCATACTAGTACTACTACTACTACTCATGCTGCTGCTTAGCCTTCACAAGATCACAGTTAGAATAGAACTAACTAAATAACTACCCTACCTACATCCAGTCAGCAAATCCATCGTCATCATCACTGTCAACTGCATCTTTCTCAGCGTCTAAGTCTACCACTTCCATCTCGTCATCAACCTCCCTACTCTTCTTGCTCTGTTGCCTTCCTGCAGGCGGGAGTGGAGCGTTGCTTTGGGGCTTGCGCTTCTTGTAGCTCCTCCAGATGGTCACAATTTCATCCCACTTGGGCTCGTAGTCCATGAGACTCATGCACATGAGGTTTCCTAGGCGTGCATCTTTCAGCGCGCCTCTCTGCCACGACTTGATGATGTTCTGGCGGGAGAATCCCCGCTCGCACTCCATTGTGCTCAGCGGCAGTACGGCTACTCCCACCCACAGAAACACGAGGTTGGGGTAGTTGTCCCGCCAGTCGGGTGTCTTGAGCATGGCAGTGAGCCCGGCGTGGAAGCTGCGCTCGTTCTTCGTGGCTCCTGCAAGCACCGAGGAGAACATGCGCAGCTCCTTTTCCGCACGACGCTTGTTGATTCCTGGTGGGGGAGGAAGAGTAACAGTAGACGATGCTTAGTGAATATACAGTGAAGCACAACATATGCAATGCCAATTACAACAGTTACATGAGAACTACACAAACATGGGCTTACCGGGGAGGATCTCCTCGGTCTGGTCGGCCTTGAAAAGGGTCACAAGCGACTCCAGCCACTCCATGCACCTACGGTTCCTCTCTCCTCGATCCAGCGGGTACTCGTCGGGGGTGAATAGCCTTGCCCCAGACATCCCTTCCAGATCGTGCGCGCCGTGGTCAGAGGCGAATGCTGCGAGGCCGCACCCACAGTTGGTTCCGCAGGTGTCTCTGCCACAGGTTCGGCAGACAGTGAGATAACCGGTGCCGTCGGTTCTTTCTGTGTGGGGATCGTATCGGGCGTGGCGCGTGCTGCCTTGTCGAGTTCTAACGTACTAAGAAGAAAGTCTAAGCCTGTTAAGGCAGGCTGGGAATCAGGGTCGGGATCGCTGGAGCCGGGATTGTCCAGCACCGCCATGGCGGGGTTCAGAAAGAGCCTGCCGAGTAGGAACAAGAAATGTGTTCGCGAGGCAAAACTAGGGACTGGCTGAGGCCAGTCAACACCAGCTAGGGGGTGTGGATGAAACCCTAGCTGAAAGGTGATGGCAATAGACAAGACAAGGAGGACCCGTTGAGGTGGATGGGTGGTTGCCTTGCATGCACGACAACGACGAGGCGCGTCAGAAGTGCAATGCTGTCAGCGTTGTGTCGTGGGTGGCTAGTGCAGCATCGTGGGTGCAAGGCCGGTCCGTGATGGCACACAGAAGCTGCCATAAGGACCAATCGGTGCTCTAGCAGGGTGTGCGCTGGTGTTTACGTAGGAAAAACCGCGTCGCAGGGCGGCCACGCCCACAAAACTTGACTGTTGATGTGTGGTCCCAGGTTACGCGTGATTGACCACCCAGGTACACGTACTAGCGCAAATCGTGGGTGTGGGTGCCAAGGTACATTGAATCAGTTTCAGAGTCCGTACGCATTTGACTCTGAATTATCAGAGTACACTCAAAAAAATCTCTGAAATTGCAGACTTGGCTTAAAAAAAACTCTGAATTTAACAGACAACACTTAAAAAAAAGTCTGAATTTAACAGACAACACTAAAAAAAAAGTCTGAGAAATCAGACTTTTATAGGCAAATCAGAGAAATTTCTTTGACTTCATGGGGCCTGCTCACGCACGCACGCACGCACGCGCACACACACACACCCACACACACATACACCCACCCACACACACACACGCACGCACGTACGCACGCACGCACGCACGCACGCACGCACGCGCGCGCGCGCGCACACACACACACACACACACACACACACGCACACACACACACACACACACACACACACACACACACACACACACACACACACACACACACACACACACACACACACACACACACACACACACACACACACACACACACACACACACACACACACACACACACACACACACACACACACACACACACACACACACACACACACACACACACACACACACACACACACACACACACACACACACACACACACACACACACACACACACAATTGCGGGTCGGTGTCGGGGAGGCGTTTTTTGAAACGTTAGCCTCGAATACCTCTCCGCACTGTAATGCCCCTAAGTCCACACTAGGATTCAAACCTCAAACCTTCGCTCTGATACCATGTCAGAATCTCAACTGCTAACCACTGAATTATAAAAGCTTGTTTGTGTACAAGGTGAATGGAGTGGGCCCATAACCCTCCGGACCTACGTGTCTATAACATTTCTCTAGGATCAATCGGGGATCTCCAATACACCTCTGACACACAAGAACCAACAACACTTGCATGCTTGCTAAGCAAATAGAATGCTCACCCTTTTTAAGGTTTCTAGCCTTTTCTTTCTGGCTTTTTTCCCCTTTCCCCGTCCCCTCTCCGAGCCACATCATCATCGCGTTCTTTCTTCCCACTAGCTCCTGCTGCCATCTTCCTACCTTCACTTTTGCCCTCTTCTCGCTTTCCCTCTCCTCCCTTGCCCTGTTCCACCTTTCCCTGCAACTCTTTCTTGCCTTTTCCCTTCCGCTCCTCATCAGTTTCACCCACGTTACCACCAACAGAAACAGCACCACCAGCACTCCCGCCAGCACCATCACCAGTACCAGCACCAGCACCAGCAGCAATTTGTCCATCCTGCTGCCCCGTCACCTTCCCTTGCTTCTGCCCCTGCAGCTGTCTTGGCGACACATTCACTGCTCCCCCTCCCGCTGACACAACAGAAGGCAGGGAGGAATCTCCTGCCCCAGGGCTTGGCGCTGAGGCAGTTGCATTGCTGCGCCCGGGCAGGCGAAGAAAGTCTGCAGGCTCATTGGCCGGGCAGATGTAAGTTTCGCACAGCCCTTGCTTCCACCACTCACGGAGACTGGAGATGGGCACGATGGCAGGGAAGGAGTGCGGGAGGGAATTGCAAGGGAGGAGGGCAGAGGGCAGGAGGGCAGGAGGGGAGGACAGGGGGGAAGGGCAGGAGGGGGAGGAAAGAGGGGGAGTGATATGGGAAAAAGGCCAAGGGAGGGTAGGGTGCAAGTGGGAAGACTTAGGGATGTGAAGAGGTAGAGGATGGATTGAGGTGAGTGGATGGAGAATATGCCAAGGGGCAAGGGCTGGTGCAGAGAGTGCAGCAGAGGAATGGACCTTGCCGTGACCACACTGATCACCACTGGCATGGCATGTAGTAACACTCATAGGATGAGAGGTTGGATGCCACATGGGAGAGCACATTGGCGGCACATGCGAATGTCTGCGGAGGGAGGAGGGGAGGAGGAGGAGCAGCAGGGAAGGAGGGGGGGCAGGGGAGAAGGAGCAGGGGAGGAGGAGGAGCAGGGGAGGAGGAGGAGGAGCAGGGGAGGATGAGGGGCAGAGCAGCAGCAGCAGGGGCAGCAGAGACAGCAGGGGTAGCAGCAGCAGCAGCTGCAGCAGGGGCAGCAGAGACAGCAGGGGTAGCAGCAGCAGCAGCTGCAGCAGGGGCAGCAGGGGCAGCAGGGGCAGCAGCACGAACGCACCGCATGATGTCACTGGAGAAAGTAGAGCCCGCAGTGCCGTAGAACTGCAGGGCGAGCGCGCAGATGGCCTTGTCCAGGAACGACACCACCTCGCTGCTCCCCGCCACGCCTGCCCGCTCTAATGGCTCTGCCCACGCGTGGCCCTGCAGAGAATGCGGCAGGGAGATGAGCGTGTGGGACGAGCCCTGTGGGGGAGGGGGGATGGGGGAGAGAGAGGGATGGTGGGGAGAGGTGGGGGTGAGGTGCGCAGGTGGGTAGAGAAGCAGATGTGTGTACACGGGGGGGGGGGGAATGGTGGGGCGGGTGGCAGAGAAGTGACAGGGATTCCACGACAGCCTCTAGAAGCCATGCTCCAGGAGGAAGAAAATTGCTGGGCGTGGAACGAGTAGGGGAGAGGGGACGTAAGGCTACATACAGCAAAGTGTATGGTGTGCGCAGGTGCAACGTGAGGTAAGTGTTCTTCAACATTCAAAGCAGTTTGCGGTGCGGTAATATGTGGTGCAACCGTGTGAGGTAACTGTGTGTGCTCACGCACAACAAACAGCCGCCTAATGCCACCCTTCCCAACAAAACAGCCACCCCCCACCACCCAAACCACCCCATTCCTTACCCTCCCTTCCTCTCCCCCTCTCCCAACACTCTCCTCTCCCTCCCCTCCCTTCTCCACCCACCAACGCAGTGAGCGTCTCCCTGAGAACCCTCCGTTCAGTCTCATCCGCGTTGCTGGCCAGGAACACCATGCTGACTCCCGGCAGGCGCTGCAGGCGGCGGTGCAGGCACGAGGCCACCTGGTGCAGCGGCTGGTAGCAGGGCGTGGGGCGCAGACGCCCGTTGCCGTGGATGCAGTGTTGGAAAAAGTCCCCCCGCCGCAAGTGCACTGCTGCGTAGCTCGGGCCTAGATACATGTTCACGAACCCCACTGCTGCTTGCTGGGAGAAGGGGGAGAGGGAGGGGGGGCGCGGGTGGGGAGAAGGGAGGGTGGGGAAGAGGGGTAGGTAGGGGAGGAGAGTGAGGAACAGGGGGGAGAGAATGGGAGGCGGCGGAGTGGGAGTGGCGGGGGAGAGGAAGGGCCACCTGCGGGTGAAAGCTTGGTTTGAGATGATGGGCTGCTGATGCTTTTCTCAACTTGCAGCTTGATGGCTTCGGGGGTTGCTTAGAGCAGGTGCACAGCACACTATGCTGCAGGGGCTTTCAATGCAAAAAATACCTTAGAGTGGAAGCCATAGCCTTCCAGATCAAAACTCTACCTGCTGCCACCTGCCTACTGCTCACTAGCCCCTCCCTCCACAATCCACAGCTGCCGCCCCTCTTTCCCCTCTCTCCCACGTTCCAACACCCTTCCCATCCGCACCCAACCCCTCTTCCCATCTTCTCCCCCCCACCTCCCCCCCTCCGCCACACCCCACGCACCTGAATAGCCGGGCTGGGTTGCAGCAACCCGCGGCACTGCGGCGAAACCACCAGCGGCGCAGCCCCTTGAAAGCGTAGCTCCCTGCCGCCCACGCCGAACATGTTGCCAAAGGCGATGACGTGGTGGTCGCTGTTGAACTTGCGCAGGAAGTCCCCCGCGGGGTACTTGAACCACGGGCCCGGCGTGCGGCGCCGCGCTATCTCCTTCTTCGCGAACTGCATGTGCAGTGTGGCGGTGTAGCGCTGCATTAGGTCGTCACACGCTGCCTCCGTCTGGTGGTGGTGGAAAGGAGAGGGGAAAGAGGGTTGGGAGGAGAGGGGGAAAGGGGGGGGGGGAGGGGGAGGGGGAGGCGGAGGGGCAGTAGAGAGGTGGGGAGGGGAGGTGAATGTGCAGCGTGGTCGCATAGTGCTGCACAGGCGAGAAGGGAAACGAAGGGACTGAGGATCAAGAATCGGGAGGGGAGCAGAGAGGGGGGAGGAGGGGAAGGGAGGGGAGGGGAGAGGAGGGAGTGGAAGGGGGTTGAGAGGGGAGGGGAAGGGGAGCAGAACGGAGAGGGGGGGGGAGGGTGGGACAATGGGAGGGGGAGGGGAGGGTAAGGGGGTAGGAGAGGGAAGGACGAGAGGAAAATGTGGTTTGTGAAGCGGAGGGAAGGGGGCGGGGTTGGAGAGGGGGAGGAGAGGAAGGGGGGAGGAGGAGAGAAAGAGAGGGGGGGGGGGGGGAGGGGGGGGGGAGGGGGGGGGGGGAAGAGGGAGGGGGGAGAAGACGGAAAAAGGGGAGTTGTGGAAAGGGAGGGGATCAAGCAGGAGAAGGAACTGGAGAGAGGAGACGAATCAGTAAGCAACGGGGCAGGGTGGTTTGGGGGAGGGAGGGGAAGGGGAGGGGAGGGGTGGGGTGAGAAACTAGGGGCGCTAGGAAGGTGAGAGAAAGGCACGCAATGCAAGGATGGCACAAGCATGTGTATGTAACGACACACGTGCACACCCTGGGCGGAAAAACAAAACTGAGGCGGCAGCTCAGGAGAACACACACGGGAGTGGGTGTGGGAGTGTGTGATGAATGAAGTGTGCATTGCACACTTTGGTCGACATGCACACACCTGGTAGACATGCACACACCTGGTAGACATGCACATGGCAGATGAACCGGCCCACGCGCACCCTGCCCTTGACTGACTCGTTATAAGCAGCAAACGACACTACTCTGTTGGGCCCAAAGCACTCATCAAACGCACCCATGTCTGGAGGAATGCTTACGGGGGAGGCGGGGGGGAGGAAATAAGAAAATGCAGAGAATTGTGATGGTTTAAGCCAAATGCGGTGGCGAGGGAAGGAGGGCGAGAGATGAGGTGGGACAGGGAGGGAGGGTGGGGAGGAGGCCCGTCGTACGAATGAGGGACGTTGATGGGAAGGAGACAATAAGTGGGTGCACCACAAGCGCCTTGGAGCAAGCCGCACAGCACAGCCAGCACAGCATGGGGTGCTGTGTTCAGCACATAGCAAATGGTGCCTTCGGGGTGCTATGCTACTCAACGTGCTGAAGCCTGCCGCTCATGGTGGAACATAGCACCCCCACTACAGCCATGCATCCATGCTCCCTCCCATGCACCCATGCCCCCATGCACAGCACAGCACCGTGCAGTAGTCCCCACGGTGCACACACGCACCGAGCAGGGCGTCATAGTTGTAGTCGATGCCGTGGGTGGGGAAGACGAGCGTGCGGTTCATGAGCGCCGCGTCCAGCATGCTCTGCCGCACACACGCCAGCCGGTTGCTCAACTGCCCGCCCGAACACATTGCTATCAGGTACCTGCTTGCAGCGCACGCGGTGGTGGGTTGGAGGGAGGGAGGGAGGGAGGGGGGACGAACAAACAGGGAGGTGACGAGGGCTTTGTGTGGGAATTGGGGGGGAGGTCTTGGGAGAGAGGGGTAGCTTGAGTGGAGAATGAGAGAGGGGGAGGGAGAGAAAACAATGTGAGACCATGGTTGCGCGGAGAAGCGACAAGCAATTGGAGGACGCAGAGTCGGGGAGAGGGAGAGGGAAAGGGCCGGCGAGGGGGGCGGAAAAAGAGGGAGAGAGGGAGGGAGGGAGGGAGGGAGGGAGGGAGGGGGGGAGGGAGGGGGGGAGGGAGGGAGGGAGGGAGGGAGGGAGGGAGGGAGGGAGGGAGGGAGGGAGGGAGGGAGGGAGGGGGGGAGGAGGGGGGGAAGGAGGAGGGGGAGGGAGGAGGGGGAGGGAGGAGGGGGAGGGTAGGAGGGAGGGAGGGAGCGAGTGAGGGAGGGAGCGAGTGAGGGAGGGAGCGAGTGAGGGAGGGAGACCGATGCGAAGTGGGAAACAGTATTTTGTTCGGGCTGCTTGCCTCCTACCAGTATCTGCCCAGAGCCCGCCCATTCCACAGAACCACCCTCCTTCATAGCCACCAGAGTCCTATCTGCGAATTCCCCAACCCCAAGGTCCCTGTGGCCGCGTCGGGTGTCTCACCTCTGCGGTTTGGGGTTCCATTGAAGGGTGCCGTTCTTACGAGCCAAGTCCCGCACACACGGCGCTTCCCCTGGTGGCAATGGGCACCACACATACAAAGGGCGCCGCGTGACATGGTGTGGTGAGGCGCGACGTAGTGTGGAGTGATGTGCAAGCAAGGAGGGCACAGGGATGAGGGGCAGTGAAGCAGTGAGGAGGGGCTTGGATGCACACACGAGCACGAGTGCACCGCCAGGCATGCGGTGGGGGCACAACACAGGACACATGCACACCAGCCACAACAAATGAAGCCCGCACAGCCGCAAGGCGCACAGCAGCAATAACCAGAACAAACGGACCGAGCAAGAGCGGCAGGGGCACTGGCACAAGGAGAGGCATACCGGCGCCATCCCCAGTGGCGGTCACAGCAGAGCCGCCCCCAGCACCGCCCTCCACCAGCTGCCGCCTGAGCCGCCTCATCTCCGCCTCCTGCTGCTGCATCGCCCCCACTATCGCCTCCTGCTGCCTCTCCACCGCCTCCGCGGATAAGTTACACGCGCTCGCCCCCCCCGCGCCCCCTCCGCCGCCCCCCGCGCCTGCGCCATTCGCGGAGCTGCTCCCCCCCGCCGCCGCCCCCGCCAGCCCCCAGTCCCCCAGCGAGCGCACGGAGCGGTGGCAGGGGGGGGAGGCGCAGGGGGGGTCGTGCGGGTGGCGGAGGTGGGAGAGGGAGAAGGGGGAAGGGTCGTGCTGCTGCTGCGCGAGCAGTTGGTGCTGGGAAAGGAGGAAGGAGGTGGAAATCCATCCCAGCTGAAAACCGATTATGAGGTACAGGCACGAGTTGGTGTTGGGGCGGTGGAAGAACCGCCGCAACATTGGCGTTAGGGTTAGGTTTAGGGTTACGCCGGTTAGGGTTGGGGTTAGGGTTATGACACCCGCAGGCTCTACTGGTGGCTACCGCTGCTGCTGCTGCTACTGCTGCTGCTGCTGCTGCTACTACCCCTGCTGGTCCTGCCGCCTCCGCGGTGGTTCGAGCTACAGCTGCAGGACTGGCTGACGCGTATTCGCGCTCATCCGCGGCTGCTACAGCTGGCCCACGAAGTCAGACGACGATGCGACGATGCGACTAGGCAAAAATACGTGACGATGCGACTAGGCGACTATGCGACGAATATGCGACTACAAGACCATGCGTCTATGCGTGTTGAGGATGGCTACTACCGGCTGGAGACGAGACGGCAAGACGGCGAGACAGCAACGTGACAACGGCTTCATTCCTTGGGCTCGTTCGTTACGCGTCAATTGGGGTCGAAAGTGCCTTGCGCTGCTCGTTACGCTGATAGCCCGTGCGAGCCACCCGCCTCTGCCCTAGTAGCCGATCTGGAACTCACGTTACGCTACCAGCCTTCTTGACAATGCGAGCGCATGGCGTTAGCACCGGTGCGCCACTGCTCCCTGCGCGCAATCTCCGCCGCTCTTGACGCTTCTACCCAAAGCGCATTCGACCCGCAATTTGCCGCGCGGACCGCGGGCATCTCCATAGCGACGGCGAGCGCGCCATGCGACGCGGGCGCGGGTTACTGTACTCTACGGCAGCAAGACGTGGACGGCAGATTGACTTGGTGCATACGCACGGCCGACTGACAAGCGTGGGTTACCGATCCGCCGCCACCCGGCACCACAAATAGCCGCACGAACCAGGTTTTGGACCAGGAAATCGATGGGGCGTGGACAGTGGGCTGAACTGATCGCTGATGTGCGGCTATTTTTCATTACCGTGCAATATGCCGCCGGCCTACAGGCGCCTCCTCGGTTGTTGCTGACTTCCTACAACGTGAATCAACGGCGACTCGAATCGTTGATGTGTGTTTGTGTGTGTTGTGCAAGGCAATCTCACATTACTCTTCCGCCAGCGTAACACAACGAGCATTTCTGTAAGGAATTGTAATTCCTTGCTGTACTCGCACTTTAGAGAGTACATCCCGAGGGTCACGCGACGAACCTGTTCTGCCTAATTCGTCGGCCGAACCACTCCCGAATCGGCCTCCGCTCCAATCGCAAACATCACCGAGCCATCTCGCCCTACCTCTCCGCCTAGCTAACTTTCCCCCTATTTAGGCGTGCCATTTTCATTGTATCGTCATTCTGTAATATTCATTCTCGTTATTCGATATCTGCGCACTCTGCAAGTTCATTCATAATAATTTCCAGCCTGAGCTACAGTAACGAATTTCACAAGAGAGAAGGGTTACGACATTGTGCCAGTGTGTGTGAGCAGGCCTCTGGATAGGATTTGGTGTACTCTTTCTCGTAAGGCCAACACCCAGCTTTTACTCTTTCAGTAAGGGTGCTTCACAGAAACTACTCTTAAAAATAAGGAAGATGAAAAAAGTGTCAAGTACACAAACTGAAAATCATGAAGGGTGTTGGTGTTGCAATGTGTTAAATCATCGACTTTACAATGCGGAGTGCCCCAGCATGTGCTTCATTCTGTGCTCCAGGCGCTGCTCCCGACACAAGGCCAGCATGGCCTTGTTGTCTACGTACAGCACTGGAGGAGAACGAGGCGGCTCTCCGAGGTCACTCAGCAGGTAGGTGAGCCAGCGAAGCTCCTGAGCAGCCATGGCTCCTGCGTAGATCTCAGCCTCACAACTGGAGCCGAGAACGGAAGACGAGCGAGTAGCCCGCCACGAAACAGAGCCGGAACCAAGGCTGAAGGTGTAACCCTGTGACGACCGCTGTGTAGCCTGGTCGTCAGCCCAAGAAGCGTCTGCGTGCCCAGTGAGGACCACTGGACTCTGCCCTCCAAGCACTAGCCCCATGCCCGACGTACTGCACAAGCAGCGCAACACCCTCTTCGCTGCAGCCATGTGCTCTTGTCGGTGTCTCCCAGGAGCAACATAGCGTGCAAGAATGCTAAGAGGGTATGCAAGGTCAGGTCGAGTGCAGGTCATCAGGTACATGAGGCAGCCAACAAGCTCTGGGTACGGGCCACTCGACTCTACGGACTCATCCGAAGGCAGAGCTGAGAGCGAGTGGCGAGTAGGCAGAGGAGTGGCCTGAGGCGAGGAGTACGTGAAGCCGAAGCGCTGAAGGACCTGCTGCACCATGTGTGACTGAATCAGGGTAATCGTACGGCGTGCTCTGTCCCGGGTGATCTGCAAGCCAAGGTAGCTCCGCAGTTCACCCAGGTCTGTGAACGTGTGTCTCTTCTACAGCTCAGACATCACGTGGGCGAGTCCAGCAGTGTCAGCTGTGGCAAAGACCAAGTCGTCGACGTACACGAGGATGTAGAACGGCGGCAAAGAGGTGTCGGTGCGCAGAAACAGCGACGGGTCGGCAATAGAGGGAGCAAACCCAAGAGCCGCAAGTGTAGTCCTCAGTGTGTCGTGCCATTCACGCGGTGCCTGGCGCAGACTGTAGACTGGCCGCCGGAGGCTCCACTGGGTGCCAGGAGGAAAAGTCCCCGTGAAGCGAGGTGAGCGGCGCAGCCAGATCTCCTCGTGTAGGCTACCCTGCAAGAAAGCAGTGCTGAAGTCAAGAGAGTGAAGCTCGTAGTCGCGCTGAGCAGCTATGTGCAGTAGCACCCGCTGACTTCGGGGTGGGAGAGAAGGTCTGAAAGTAGTCAACTCTCTGCCGCTTACTGAAGCCACGAGCCACGTACCGCGCCTTGAAGACAGGTGGAGAACCTGGCGGCCGCTTCACCCTGAAGATCCACATGCCACTGACGATGTTCGCCCCAGGTGGGGGAACTGCGTCAACGTAGGTGCCTGTGGACTTCCAGGAAGCCATCTCTGCATCCATAGCTGCCTGCCACTGAGAGGAGTAGGGACCCTCTACGGCCTCCGCGTAAGAGCGCGGAGTCGGGATGTCAAGTGCATCCGGGTCTCCCTCAGGGGTAAGCAGTACGGACACGAGATGAGGTGAAGCAGCAGCCAGACACTGGAACTCCTCCTGCATGTCCTCAAGGACGTCCGTGCCAAGGGCACACACACCCCCGACGGACGGAGGACAGACAGACTCAGACTCAGCGACAAGACTAGCAGCGTAGTCTAGACGACAGCGAGCAGCAAAGTCGACGAGCTCAGCAACTAGGGCAGACGCAGTAGTGGACTCAAAGAAGGGTCAGTGACGACAGTAGCAAGGAGACGCGTGACATTAGGACTGGTAGTACGAGAGAGTCCGACTCTGGGTCGGCAAGAGCAGGAAGAGAAGACTCAGGAGGAGAAGGCAAAGGGGCACGCAGAGGAGCAGTGGACAGACGCAGAGACATCCGGTGCGTGCAAGGGACAGGAGGAGGACACTGACTCGAACCGCGACCACTAGTGCGAGCAGCACGGACAGGCGACGCAGGGCGAGACGCAGGCTCACGACGCTCAGCAAGACCTCCAGTAGGACCAGTGTAGGGAGACGCAGCAGGCAGTGGGGAAGCCGGCATGAACTGTAGCTATGACGGGACAGGCAGTGGACACTCTAAGGGAGGAGGAGGACTAGTAGAGGGCGGGAGACCAAGAACCTGCAGAAGGAGCGGAACGAAGTACGGCCGAGGCCGCGCGGCGACTCCAGACACAGCAGGGACAGCACCAGCACCCCCAGCGGCAGCACCAGCGCCAACAGCACCTCCAGCTGCAGTACCTCCAGCAGCACCAGCAGCACCCGCAGCAGGACCGCCGCTAGGACTGACAGCAGTAGCCTCAGCGCCAACACCCTCAGCAGCTCCAGCTCCAGTCGTACCCGTAGGCCTAGCAGCTCCAGCACTCCCAGTACGAGCACCTCCGGGACTAGCGGCACCAGCACCCTCAGCAGCCGAAGAAGCTCCGGCTCCAGCAGCTCGCCTCCAGCGCTGGGCAAACCACTCGCGCAACTCCTGTGAAGAGAGTGGCTCCCGCCGAGACGAAGCACCCGGAGGACCTCCAGGCCCAGCACCGCCAGACAACACACGAGCAGGCCCAGCGGCCGCCGGCTCCGCACCCCCAGGCTCAGCAGCTCCAGACGTGGCACTTCCAGGCTCAGCACCCCCAGGCTCAGCACCCCCAGGCGTAGCACCCCCAGGCTCAGCACCCCCAGGCGTAGCACCCCCAGGCCCAGCACCCCCAGTCTCAGCACCCCCAGGCTCAGCACCCCCAGTAGTAGCACCCTCAGGCCCAGCACCCCCAGGCGTAGCACCCACATGCTCAGTACCCTCAGAGTCAGCACCCCCAGGCTCAGCACCCGCAGCAGCACCAGAGTCACCAGTAACCTCGACAGGCTCGGCTGCGTCTACCTGGGACACACCTGAAGGGGCAGGACCCTGAGGGGGGAGGGGGTCTACCGGGGGGGGACCTGGCACAAGGAAGAGCGGTGGCGGGGGGAGGGAAGGAGTGCGGTAGGGGAAGAGGCGGTAGTAGGGGACCGACTCGTCAAATATGACGTCCTGGGAGGACAGAACACGACGAGAGGTGGGGTGGTAGAACTGCTACCCTGGCGCGTCAGGGGGGAAGCCAAGGAAGACGCAAGGAGCAGCACGAGGGGACAGCTTGTCCGCAGACAAGTCGCGGACGAACGCCCGAGATCCCCAGACACGGAACGCAGACGCATCGCCAACCGTCCCCGTCCACAGCAAAGCTGGGGAGGTCTCCGGCATGGAGACCCTGGGGTGAAGGTTGATCTGATGCGCCGCGTACCGAACCGCAAACGGCCACAGAAAATGGGGGGCAGCCGCATGCATCATGGACGTACGGGCGACGTCCATGACCATGCCAATGCGGCGCTCAGCAATCCCATTTTTCTGTGGAGAGTCCGGAAGCGTAAAGGTCTGGCGGATGCCTCGCGCACGACAGTAGGCTCGCAGAAGGCCAAAGGAGAACTCTCCGCCTCGGTCAGAGTGCAGACGCAGA